TATATATATATATATATATATATTCCTGAATCCAATAAATTATGTGTCCACACTACATTGTCATTCACATTTTCAAATGTATTCAGTATGGTTTTACGTGTCTTAGAGAATGATAATAGTAAGAAATGTGCTTTAAACTTTATGAGCTATCTGCCACCAGTTTGAAATGAGTGATACCAAAACATCATTAAATCTATCAGATTTAAAGTCCCCGCATTTTATGCCTCATAAAGACTTTAAAATTTGGTTTTTGGCTGACTAAATAGTTATTGTACAAATGAATAGTTGAACTAAGGTGTCTTTGTTTTTCAAAATTCCAATTATTATATTTCCGACATTAGAGCTAGCTTATGTGGCAATAGGAAATTAGGAGCAATACGTAACGGATGCATATAGAATATCTCTATTTATGTTTATTTTTGCATATCAGTTGATATAGCTTCTCATACTAATTCCCCCATGGATTTGGCATACTCCAATAGATATGCCTATGCCATAATTGCCATTGTTATAGTAATTTTTTGTGCCATTAGAAACATCATTTCATGGAGATATTGTAGCCTTTTTGAGCAGAGTGAACCTCTTGAAAACCGTGACTTCAAGCAGTGTTGCTGTATGATCTTGAAAATTATGTACCTTTCAATCAACATGAACAATATTAAGCAATACAAATAATGATTAATTAATTAGCATAAAATCTCTGCCAAGTGTTTTTTTTCAAATGATACATGTGTTGAAAATTTAGCTGGATATCTGCACTTAACTATGAAGATTAATTTCAGTTCAATGAATAATGAGAATGTTCACGTAACTGTCTTCAAGAAAAAAGTGTTATCTTTCTTTACATTGTGTCTCGATCAACATGTCTTTCATATGAAAGCTTGGTTTCTTTTGTTCTTCTTTGAGATCAATTTTTTTGCATGCATTTTCAGGATTACTGGTGTGACAGATGAAGGAAAAGTACAGATGACAATTTTCTATAGTGGCAAGGTGAATGTCTATGATGATGTCCCAGCTGACAAGGTACACAATATTAATATTTTGCACCATTTTATTTTCCAATTTTTTTAATATCACTGACTGAGTGATTTTAGGCACAAACTCTATTCAAGCTTGCTGCAAACCCACTACAGTTTCATCAGGATGATGGAAATATGACCACATTTCCACTTCCATGCCATTTGCAAGCTCCAACTATATTAACAACCACAGAATCATCTGTCATGCACTTGCCCACATTGCAAACAGGTACCATTTGTGTTGTTTTGATTCTTTAATGCTGAATGTGTCATATGTTGTGAAGCCCTGTATATTTTTAGCTTTTCTAAGATAGTGTTTGGTATGATGGAGTTGACGAAGGAATGGAATGGTTGATTCCTTTGGAATGAAAAAAAGTTGTTTGTTTTGTCTGATGGAATGGAATGAACCATTTTTGAAGGAATGTTATTCATTTATATTGTTAATCTTCTTCTCTTAGCCAGTAAGTGTTTTTTTTTTTTGCTTTCATTCCAGTGTGGAATGGAATGAAATGAAAAATTGCAATGTAATCCACTTTATCTATGAATTTCTAATGACTAAATTTTAGAAAATTTCATGCTTTTAATTAATTTGGTGTTTTATTTTGTTAGAATTGACTAGATCCTCCATTCCATTTCTTTCATCATATTCCATTCCATCCAACCAACCAATAGTCTGGTGAATTTCTTGTGTAGCTGGCTTAATGATTGCAAAAATGTTTGTAATTGTATGGTGGATAGTTTCTTCACTAGTTGAATTTTCCAACTTATAATTGATAACAACCAAACATTAAAGCTTTTGATATGTTGGTGGTAGAAGATTGACAGCTTATTTTATTAAGTAGAAAATTTAATTTTTTGGTGAAGATAAGAATTATGAATTATGATAGTGTAAAGACCTTGCTCACTGTATGGTATGCTCTACAGTAAAAAAGACAGATAACTCTAGGATGCATAGAGAAGAAATCAGCATATATCGTGAGGACAACTCTGGTAAATATCATATTTCACAAGTCTTTTTTCTTCCTCTTTATGCATAAGTAACAATCTAAATAGATTATAGGGTAAATTACAAATTTCATCTCTGTTCTTTCAGAAAAGTTAAGAATTCAATCCAGATGTTTTTTTTTTTTGCATAGGTCTGCTACATTTTTGTCCCTGGCTTGGAATGACATTTAAAAGATGGACTCTAAGTCCCAAGTAAAAGACTATTTGTGCCCTTATCCTGTTTCATGTCTCTTTGATTTGGTTTATATGCGGAATATATTTAAATTGGGGGGCAAAATTGTCATTTTACATGGAGTTAACGTTCCATTCGAAGCCAGGGAGAAAAGTGGAAGCAAGGAAACCATGGTTTACAGTAGAGACCACCCATGCAAACGATGAAACATCTGGGGAGTTGATCCATAAGTTTTGAGGAATCATATTGATTGTAACTTTTAATTTTGAATTGATTATTAGCATCTGTTTGTTGTTGTGTTAATGGGAATGATATGATATGGTGAGACAGGTGAAGAAGTTTCAGGAAGAGGAAGCAGAAAAGCATCAGTGCAGAGGTATCTTGAGAAGCGGAAAGATAGGTAGGTAACAAGTGAATGTTTGTGTGGTGAGTTGTTTCTGATGTTGTTGAGTGTTAGTTGAAGGTTTAAGAGGCAAAACAAACTAAAAGCAAGTGAATGTGGTAGCAGCAGCTTCCATCATGTTTACTTAAACGACCAGTCATTGTCAACTACGACTTCACCACCTGACACCCCTAACCAACCGGTTTCAGCTAAATGGGAATTTTAACGTGTTTTCCCAGGTAAGTTAACACATATTTTTACCACATTAGGATTTAGGAGTCTATCATCCCTTACAAGTCAAGTGCCTTGTTTATTTATTTATTACAGGAAGGAAATCAGAATAGGAGAAGGTAAGTGCATGTATATTTCAAGTGGACATAGTGTTAGCCTGTTAGGAGGGTTATTGAGTAGATATATGAGATTATTGTAGTAGGCCTTTCAGGTGCTTGCTTCTTTTATTACTCCATTATCTCCAATGTTTTTTTTATAAAGCTTTCTTAAATCTACAGTCGGTTTAAAGATGGAAACCGACCACATTGTCTCTTTGAAAACAGAAAAAAGATCAACTAAAAAATCGATTGATGGTCTCCATCAACTTATTATGGTGCTTTCGTTTAGATTACTTTAAAAAGACATGGGAAAATAAAATAAAAAAATCAATGACATTAGCTGAACGAACTACCGTTGTATTTGGATTTTGAATACAAATAAGTTGTCAATATACAAATGTACATAAATCTAACGAGGTTGTTGTATGGATGCTAAGGGACAAGAATCCACACACATAACACAATTTGACTACTCTTGCATGCTATAAATGTTGCTAACAACCCCAACGATGCTAACCATGATGGCTAGGACCAACATCACCCATGAGAACAACCTCTCTTGGCTGCTCAGACCATTCGACCCACCCCCCAATCGCAGCGCGATAAGAGCCGGAAAAGTGAACCCCAACGACACAGCCGTGGTTGCACCTGTGAACTTAAAAGCAGTCCATATACTCGGAATCATCGTGGATGCCATGTATATAAGCATCAAAAGCACACAAGTCAACCCCAAACACCTCTTCCTGCTCTTGGACAACGGCTTTGCTCCTTTAAAAACCAACGCATCAACCGTCTGCCTTAACGAAAAATGAATCACAGGGAACACCAGAATCAAATGGAAAATGTATCCCACACGAACAATGTAACTCAAACCTTCGCTAAACCGAATCGCAAGAGGCTTATCAAAATTCGTAAGAACGTCTGCTTCTGTGTTGTTCCCGAAAAGAAGGTAGCCTGCTACTGCAGTCGACCAGTAGATGAAAACACATATCACAGTCGTGAGCCTCCCAACTTTGTTCATCTTTTGAGGCGAACGACCTTCGAGTTCATTGTAAATCGGTTGAACATTGAAGTGACAAACATACGCATTCGACATGATCGGGATCACAACTAAAAGATCAAGAATCGCTTGTTCGGAACTGAAATCCGGAATCAGTCTTGGCGGGTCGGTTTTACCTTCGATCACCATAATAAACGCAACAACACAAGCAACAATCACGAAAATGATAGCAAGAACTACAGATGCGGCTGAAGTTACACTTAAAGATTCAATTCTGTCCAATGCACATAGTGGTGCAAGAAGCACGACCAAAGCGATCAAGATGATGAGTCTTCTATTCTCCCAGAACCCATTTGCTCCAAACCATTGAATGAAAACCCCGGAATGTCGGGGAGAGCCTGACATCACGTCCCCCATGATGATCAGATAAACCACCAAAACACCGGCGTTGTTCAAAACGATACAAATTTCAGACAAGATTCTTGCTGGTGAACCTAAGGCTTGTTCCACAACCTCCCCGTAGGATGTGGCTTTGCATTGAACGGAAAAACGAATGAGTAACTCAACACTGATTTCTGACAAAATCCCCATCAACAGAATCAGAACAATTCCGGTGACCAAGCCAAGGACTTTCATGGTGGCGGGTAATGCCATGATTCCGGCGCCAATTACGGTTGTGGTTAAGTTAAACACCGCGCCGTAGATTCCGGAATCGGAGCTTTTATTGGAGGGGGATAAGTTATGAAGATTAATGTCATCATCAGCACAACCATTGTCATGAATTGAAGCCTCCCGTTGTCTGCCATCTCTGCTTCCCATAATGATGATTTACCAAGAAAAACATATGAAAACCCAAGAATAGAAGATCGTTACAGAAAGATTGAAGGTTTGGGTTTGAAGGAAATTGGATGGAAAAGCAAAAGCTTCATCATTTTTGTGGGTTTGGAGAGAGAATAAAGGAGGGTACGTAATTACGAGTTTCTCTATAGACGTTGACTCTTCAGATTTTGACATGTTTTTTGACCCCTTACAATACAAATATACAATCCCTAGCCGATGTCATTCTTTCTCCCAAATGCAATCGGTAACGGGTCATTCATATATGAATATTGAATCATGGTCATTTGATGCCAAACACGTATTCACTTTTTGTTCATATTATTTTAAATATATATAAGTACGGTTTATGACCACGTTCTCTTTCTAAAACAGCAAAAATATGAACTAGAAGTTTGATGGTCTCCATCGATTTACTCTTGTTCAGATCCACAAAAATTTCTCAATTTAACTTTTTTTTTGGGTAAATGATGAAGTGAATGTGTTTTTGTTTAGGTTTGTTTAAAAAAGTCACGAGAAAATAATTTTAATAACTATGAACCGAAATCAATGCCATTAACAAGGTGCTGACAAAAACTAACTACCATTATATTTGGATTTTGATTTTTGAATACAAATTAATCATCAAGCTGAAACCTTATTTATAGATTCCCACATTCTTAACGTTCTACAACACTGATTTTGTTTTGTAAAAATAACAAGCACAATAGTTCAAAGATACAATGTCTCTTTAGAAGGCTATGGTAAAAAAAATGTTATAAAAACAAGGACTGAATGGAACTAAAGAAGAAACAAGAAAAAGATTTGAATAAAGTAATTGGCTTTTTGATGTACATTTCGTCTCCAATACCGCTAGTAGGAAGACAAACACCTTACTGCTTCAACTATCTTTGTCATAAATTTAGCTGATGCTGGTTTCCTAGAATGTATTTGGTCATTGAACTTTAACTCCCAAAAATCTATCCATAACATTTTTAAAAGCCTGTTGCAAGTTTATAAATAATAAAACATGTTACACTGTGTTACATTATCATCATATGTAATATAATTAAAAGTATGTAATGTTGTACGAACTTGGCATGAAAATGACTCCTTTCTGTTAAGAAGTTTATCCATTACAGCAAACTGATCATCAAATACACCATAAAATGCTGTGTAGAATTCATTCCTAATAACCAAAATGAATGTAATCAAATCAAACCTTCTCTCAATAAAATAAAATAAACAAATTGCTGATGGTTAGAATATATACCTGTCTTGTTCATTAGTCAACTGATCCATCTCATCAAATTTTCTAGTAAGAACTTCAGCTCCTACTGGTGAAAGCAAGTGCAGTACTAACCCCTCCAAAGTTCTTGGAAAGTGATGCTAACAAAATATAAATTTTATCAAATTTATCAACTTATGAAGAAATACCATATAAAAAGCCTTGAATATGAACTCTCATATATAAATAATGTAGGGTTAACACTATTTTTAGGAAAAAGACTATTCAAAATGTCTTCAAGTTGCCAACAAACCCAAAAAATGTTATAAAAGGTTAACCAACTCTGCATTTTTGTATTTCTACCTGCTATATAGCAGGTCATAATTCCACTTTACACTTTTGGCCCAGGTTTTAAATTTTGTTACAAATTTGGTCCAAACTTTAAAACTTGTTACGAATATGGTTTTAAAAGTCTTAAATCTGCCCTATTTTGCATTTGCTACAAAATATCTACCAAATTTTTAGAAAATGAGTAATTCTGCCAAAAATGACAAACTCAAAGAAATGTTGACAATGTGGAATAAGAGTGTGGACTCACCATCATGGCAAGAAACATTTTCTGAAGATTAAGTGGTTCAAGACCCCATAAAATATTAGCAACTGGATCTTCCTCCAAGTAATACAATTCTGAGATTTCAATTTTTTTGGGCTTTGTTTTCTCAATATCAGATGTTGAGCTTGAATCAACTGCATTACTCAAATCAGCAGCACTCACACGATCATGTACTAAAGAAACAAGTTCATGAAGAGATTTGAGAGCACAAGGCTCCAGATCATGTAGCGTATTCCCACCAGAAACCTTCATGTTCTTATCTGGTAATTAAATCAATTGATTAGTTTTGTTAATGATTTGATATAAATAGGTAAAAAAGAAAATAATAACTAACCTGATTTTTCATAAGAAGGCTTATCGCTCCCACAAGGGATAGTCTTGCATAGCATTCGATTCTGTCCAAAATCATAAAAGAAGATACAATGTTGAAGTAAAATTAATGCACAATACATAATATTTGAAAAGGGTTATACTTAATTACTTATACCATTTCTTTATCAGTCAGTCTTCAAGATTACCAACACATGAAACATGGAATGAAAGATAAACATAAGTTTCTGTATCATATTCTAATTAAACATGTAAAAAAAAACCTTTTCAATATCCTGCGCAGATAATACGAATCCATGTGTTCTGACATGCCAGACATCATTTCAGACCTCCACCAAAAGTTAACTGCAATTGTTAAACTTTCACTGTCAACTTGGTGAAACCTGATCAATAAAAGAGAGAAAAGATTAGAAACAAGGAATGAAAATATGAGAATGCATGAAATTCCAAATCTTACCACCCTTCAGGAATAAAAAGTGCATCGCCTGAATTCAGAATCACTCTCTGTGAATACTTTTTCAAGTGTTCTGCTCTTGGATGAAGAGAAAGATCAGGTTCATCCATGGGGACACCACTGGTACAACACATAAAACTATATAATGAACACCAATACTCAATAGAAACAAAAATATCATCTTTTTTAACATGTAAATAAAGTAATACCTGTGATTTGAAGCCTCCCCATACAAAGGCATTGGATACAAGAAAGGAGTTGATGAAGGGGGCCATAGGTCAACTAAAGTTTGACCAAAAAAAGATGTTAGAAAAGCATCCAAAACAACATAACCTTAATAGGTGTTGAAAAAAATAAAACCTTGTTTGGTACCGGAGACCACACACAGAAGGTTATGATGTGGATCATAGTGAGTGCTTGATCTTGTTTGAGCACCATTCATCCATAGATTGATAGAAGCCAAGGTCTTCGTCTCCAAAAATCGAGGCTGTATAATTGGAACAGGTGTCAAGATATGAGGATTCTTAGGTGGAAAGATTGTTATGGAAATCAGAGATGATGGATGATGGTGTAGATTACTGTCTGAATGTCTTCTATAAGACTTCCTAACTGCACCCTCTCTTCTTTTTCGGTATTCATAATTGGTACCTATATCAGTATACACATACTTTGCATCATATGTATATACATAAATGCCCCCAAGTTAACTAATAAGAGAAAAAGTGCAAGTTCTTAAAAAAAGTACAGAATATACTTATCACTCAGTGTAAGCAAATAGCAACCTGTGCCAAATAAATCTGATCTTGCACTGTTTCAATGGTAGCCGGATTTGAAACATCCTTGCAGTATTCGATAAAGGTAGATAAAGGCAACTGCACCTACAGAAGGAACAAAACAACTGCAGTAATTAAGCGGCATCTGAATCATAACCTCTATATTTAACAAAATCATGTATAACTTCTTAAGAAAAATACCCTCTCATGATTTCTAATGTCACCATAAAAGACTGGTGCAGATTTAGACAGCATTACTTCCACGGTTGATGGCCCTGCTAGTCCCTATATATATAAGCAATGGTAAATTCTGAATCTATATTCAAGTTTATGCTAACATACTTCATAAAACCATGTATAATAGATGCATAATTGTTGTTATTGGAAGACATATGTAGAAATGTATTCATCCCACTCTGGAGAGGTAACCATACCAGTCGATGAATTGAGAATAAACTCCTAAACGAAGCTGTTATCAAACAATGAGATACTTAGATGTTACAGTATGCAATACACACGTATTTGTCGCTTCATCAATTCAATCCAAACCCCTAATATGGCCGTTGGTTCACTATACAACAAATTATGAAGCTGAAATACGAAACGAGTGTTGAAGACAGACCTGTAAGTAATCAAGACCCCCAGTGGATGGATTCCACTTACTGGAAGCCTTCCAATCGTTGACGCATCCATGAAAGACCTTTAGTGAGCCAGACAAATTCAATAAAAGAGAAGAGTTAACTTGAGTGACAAAGATCGGGTAGGAAATATGAGTAACTAAACTGGTTATTCGTAGATTGGAATATTACAGCAGGGACATTTTTAGGTTCAATTAGGGAAGTAAATTCTTCAGCTGATGGAATTGCGTCTAGTATGGTGATTGTGAGTCGAACAGAATTTTCTTCCATTTTTTGCTTACGAGTTGCAATGAAAACTGGAAACGGGGTTTAGGCGTTCCTAAAACCGCTTCGAATAGCTATCTATTTTACATGCCACGTATATGAAACAACCGGTTTAACCTGTTGATGGATATAAAAATAATTTGACAAATTTTATTTTTACATAACATCTTATTTTATTTTATTTGTTTTCCTTAGGGTCTGTTTATAGCGTAATGGAATGACAAGGGAATAGAATATATAAAGGGGATAATGACTTAAAAGAGCGTAATGGAATGACAAGGGAATAAAATATATAAAGGGGATAATGACTTAAAAGAGTAATATATTTTTCGATTTGTACATATTTGGTCACTGAGTTTTTTTCGTCCACATTTACCCCTTCAACTTGTTAAACATAGGGAAAAATGACTTATATGGGTAATTATGTTTCAAAATCGTTCAAAAAATACCATTCAAGTTTGGTGTGTCCAAAAAACATCATCCAAGTAAAACATTTGTATAAAAAACACCAACGAAGTACATTCTTTGTTCAAATTTAACCTTTGGTAACCGGCAATTACCGGTAAAAAATAAGTAAAGGAAAAAAAAACAATAGGAAATGACTCAAAGAGGTAACTACGTTTCAAAATCGTTCAAAAAACATCATCCAAGTAAAATTTTTGTACAAAAAACACCAACAAATTATATGTTTTCTTCAAATATTACCCACCGGTAAGTGGTTCTTACAGG